ACTACTTATTGAAAGATGGGTGAATGGGTGGGCGCAGTCATAGATCCTAAACCCATCTCATTTTAAAGTAAACTTAAGGGATGAACGAGGTCCAGAGCTTATTTTATAAGGACAGAGGATATTATAAACCTGCTCATGTCTGTAGCAGATGAATTATTCATCAGTAAAATGAGGTTAAGTGAGCCAGTGATGCTTTTCCACAAAGCTTTGCATTCAATTACGTGGACACTTGAATTTTTTATAGCAGCGGTGATGCCACAGCCCGCCTTCCTCTACAGCTGACATCACTGTGGGTCATCAGCCTCACAGCAAGCACCTCTCTCTCCACATCTGAGTCATGCTGAATGGAGCAATTTGGGGAAACAGTGAGGAGAAATGGTTATTACCACAGTGGGCTAAGTTATGTGTAACAGCGTGTCCCTGCCTATGGAAGAAAGATGTGGAATTTCACCAACTTGTTGTGTAACCATTAATCTCCTTAGTGTACTTATTCAGTCTTACAGCATGCCAGCCCCAGAACAAAGACTTTGTGTTAGAGACTGTTTCCACTTTTTAAGCTAATTTGAAGTCAAGTGTGTGTGTGTGTGTGTGTGTGTGTGTGTGTGTGTGTGTGTGTGTGTGTGTGTGTGGTAATTGCAAGACAAATGAGTGCGCTGAAGTAAACGCGGCAGCCACAGGGAAACAAATTAAGAAGCTAATAACCAGCAGCAACACCAAACTGAACTGATGTAGAAAGGCTCCCAAAAGTAAGCTTTTATTAAACGTTATATGAGACAAAAGGCAGTAAAACAATTTTATATGAATGAATCAATGATTGACTTTATTTTGAACCACAAAACACAATAAAATATAAACAAATATGAACAAGACAAAGATAACAGTGTCCAAAAAGGAGTAGGTACAGTAGAAGTAAAACTTACAAGTCCCTGCCCCTTTCTCACATTTCTTCTTTTAACTCATATATTATTTCAACAAATTCCCAAATTTATTTTCAACTATCCCCAGTCTATTTACCACCAAATTAAATAAATAAGTAATAAACCCAGTTTATTTACAGTCCAAGTACCACCCAGTGTTACAAGATAAATATGTACTCCCCTAACACAACCTCTCCTTGTCAAGTGAATTATTTCTCGCTTTAAACATGATCATTGCAGTTTTAAATTTGACCAGGTCTAAAAATTTCAATGCATGTGATTTTAAAAACAGTGTATACTTGATTTGTTTTATTTAGATTGTGATGTTTACTGTGATATGAACCTAGATATCACCTGAGACTTTGGATATCGTAATATCCTAAGTGGTGTCTTTTCCTGGTTTTAAAGGCTGCATTACAGTGACGTTATGTAATTTTTCTTACCAGACTGTTCTAACTGTATTATTATGTGCCTGCTTAGCACAGTTTGTTCTGTAACCTGACCCAGCCCTCTGACACCAGATCTAATCCTATACTCAGATGCACTTTTCAAGTAATTTGGTTAGGCAAAATGTTTATAGTGATCATTATAGGACAGTAAATCTAAGATATTTTAGTTTAAAATGAAAGTAATTAAATTATTTTTTGCTTATTTTTGTAATATGGAGCAGCACATCTCCACAATGGCTATGTCTGCTCATAATGCACCTGATGCTTTTATATTCCAGCCGGCACAGAAGACAGAGCAGACACACAGAGTCACCAGTCAAAGGATTAAATGTTAAAACATCAAATTAAATTATTATTCTCAGTTTATTGTAATATATTCATCATCCACACCCACAGTCCCACCTGCATGCTCCTTGTTTTGTCACCCAGAACCGAACCTGGATATGAAATTAAGACAAAACACCACCTATGAATCCCCTTTTTGAGGGTCAGCTGCTGGATATCCGACCTGATGCAGCTCTCTGCCACTTAGTCCTTGTGTCCACATTACTGATTATTATTTATAAAAAATCTAATTGTGCAGGCTAAATATTTTGTAAGAGCACTAAGAGTCAACCCTACTGTAAAATTTCAATATCGATATTGAGGTTTCTGGTCAAAAATATTGTGATAATTGATTTTCTCTATATCGCTCAGCCCTAACTGAGAATGTGAAAACTGCATGGTGTCTTTTTATGTATAATGGCATCGTTAGTGCTTTTTGAAACACACCTTTTGTTGTAAATATAGATGAAAGGATTGTTGATGATTTACTTCTGAGTTGACTAATTCACTGCATGAGAGACACAAAGGTTGGGCAGTTGAGGAGCCAGACAGGTGGTCAACAGCTCAGAATGGAGATGGGACATTTTGCCATCTTTGACAGTCTTAATCATCCAGAAGAAGATTTTGGAGAGCTATTAAGTCTTTATCTGCCTGAGGGAGCTCCAAAATGCCTCGTTGCATGGCCAAGGACAGATCTTATCTGTTAAATTGTTTACACTTTGTATCTTTTTTCTCTTTGTTTGTCTGTTTTAGACTCTTCTAAAAGTTGCTTCAGGTTAAATTGGTTTACCTCTTAAAAACATTTTTAACTGCACCGTATAACAAATTAAATTTGAAGGAATCCAACATTTAAAGGTGGAGTTGTCATGTCTACTTTGTTGTTTTTGTGGGAGTCAGAATGTCTATTTAACCTCTGTTTATTATTTGTGCAGGCCGCACACATTCTTTTGGTCACTTTCACTCCTGGCAGTAATTGTCACAGGTGTGGGTGTGGTTTCACATTATTTTACTTGTTCATTCACTGCACTGGTTTGGCAGCTTTTAGACGAAGAGGATGAGTTTTGGCTCTGATATTTTTCTGCTGACCTCTGTTGACCTAGTGTAAAGATGTTCATGTGACATTTGTGTGCATGGATGGACTTTGCCTCCCACCTGAACCAGTTGAGCGGTTTGATCGCAGCTTTGTGGTTTATTGTTCCTGAAAAATTGTAAAATGTGGAACTTTACAAAGCCTGCAACAATTTAATTCTGACTTCCTGCAACAACTTTTTTGTATGTTATTTCACACATGAGCAACATGTCTCGGCTTCAGCCTCATACTGTTTCAGATGCACTGCTCTGAGTTTCAGCCTTTGAGTTAGTTGTGACATGCGGCACCAGCTGTAGTAGAAGCAGCCACACTGAATGGACTCTCTGTCTGCTGCTCTCTGAGTGTGTGTGTGTGTGTGTGAAACTGAAAACAATGGGTATCCAATGAGACAAGAGCCATGTTCCTTTAGTTCAGAGCCCCTGTTAGAGGGGTGGGAGGGGAGAGGCCTTTTGTGTGTGTTTGTGAGTGTAGGAGAAATAAAGGGGGAGGCGTAAGGGGGAGTTAGGGTAGATGTGCATGTGTAAATAGATGGGTACACTCCGTCTTCGTGTTGTTTTGAAGTTGTGTTCTGCGTGTGTACGTGAGAGAGAGGGTGAGACAGGGGGTAAAGTCCTCAGTGTAATTAGTCTGTTAATCCAGTGTGGAGCTGTGTTAGAAGTTAGGAGAGGCCTGTGTTAGTGAGACAGAGGTCAGTGAACCAGCCATAACTTTGTCTGATAGACGTAGTCTACAGTGCTGCATGGAGCCCAGGGTATAAAAGCAAATCCACCTGGCTGAAAACTTCACCTCTCCTTTAGGTTCCCCATAATTCACTGTCTCCCTTGCTGTTTTTCCTTGTTGTGTATGACTGGATTTTACATTTTCTGTCTCTCTGAGTCATTTCCACTACTTTGACTTCAAAGCTACGGCTAACCTCTTGAGTTTGCACTGACATCGCAGGTATTTACTATCCTACTTTGAGCTTTCCTTGACACCTCTCATTTCCCGGTCTGTGTGTTTTGCGGGGTACGTGTCACATGAAAACATGCACATGGCAAACGTGTGTTTGTGTATAAGCTCACGCTCTGCAGCGCGGGCACACCCTGCTCATTATGTTCTCACTCAGATACCCAGAAGAAGCTGTTCTTTACCCCTCTACACACAAACCATGTCATCTGATTACAGCTATATTCACAGTCTATACCTTTATCCTCTTCTCATCCCATGTGCCTGCTGCTTTAATCCACATCAGTCCCCTTTATTGAAGACTGAACGTGGGTTTAGCCCATCTCAAACACCAGGGGGCAGGAGAGAACCACTCTGAAACTGTGGAGGCTTTACAGGGCCTGGGTAACTTTGTATATCTGTTAACATCAACTTCAGCTTTTCCTTCATTTATAAGACAACTATAAGACATTTGCACAGATTTTTGTTGTCATATTACACATAGAATATAAAGATACACTGTTATTTTTCCTATTCCTATTTGAGGCGGGATCATGGTACAAGAAAAGTCCGTCTACTCTAGTTTTTGTGCTGTTGTAACAAACATGGCACATAAACTCTCCAGGGGTTTTTCAGGAGGAGTTTTCCTTAATTTGCTGTGAGGGTCCAGGGATAGAGGGTGTCATATGTTGTAAAGCCCTTTGAGGCAAATTGGGATTGAAAAAATTAATTGAAGTAAGAAAAACGATGTAGAAACCTTTAAGAGAAGCACAGTTTCCTTGCTATCTCCCCCACTTCTTATTAATTTAAATCTTTTCCTTCTCTTATCATCTACCATTTTGCTTTAAACAATCATTACATTATTCCCATTCAGACAGGCTTACACTGACTTATCAGACTTTATAGCTCCTATGCTTTCACTATAATATTCACAGCAGACAGAGACTCATGCAGTCATATAAGTTTATAGCAGTCTTAACATACTTTTATGGCACTTTGTAATCTCCCCACCTATCATGTCTTCATTCCTAACAGCACTTAATGGTGTATTTCAACTATATAGGGCATACTTGCAAAACTGCAGTATTGGTGCTGGTTGCACATTTTTATATGCTTTATGCCTTCCTATAAATTTAATATGGGATTACTGCAGCTCTTTGGGTGTCTGGATGTGTTTGGAGAGGCTGATCTTGCGCGTAAAACATCCCTGATATTTGAGGCGCTCCAGGGATTTAGCGAGCATGCCCAGTGCGCCCCTCTCAGCACCAGAGGAAACCACTGGTGCAGCATAGGAGTCATACCAAGCATAGCCTGCGTGTCAGTGCAGTCGACTTACAGCTGGCTGTGAGGAGAACTGACGCTACTCTTTTTTTCCACCTCTCTATCACCGCGATACGTTTATTGTACTCATATTTCAAAAAAAGTATCATAAACTCTGCGCACGGGGTTTTTATTTTATTAAAGGGGGGTTTGTAGAAAACTTAAGTTGGAGGCTGGGCCTTTAGCTTTTTGACCGTCGACTTGAGAGAAGAAGAAGAAGAAGAAAAAAAGAAGCTGGTCTTTTTTGTGGTGTTGTTGTAAAAACTCGATAAATGCTACTAACGAAAATGGACCTGTTGAACTACCAGTACCTGGACAAGATGAACAACAACATTGGCATTCTCTGCTACGAAGGTAAAGTGAAGGAGAGCTGTTTGTTTGTGGCCGTTAACGTTGTGAGTGAACGTCAGCAACGCTGCTCGAAGTTTTCACTCAACTTTTTAAGCTAACGTTAGCCGTTAACTTACTTTATTCAAGCTACGCAGAGTAACCTGTTTCTTTAAACATATATGTTAATTTAATAAATGTTTGCTCGATTTATAATTAAATCTACTTCACATTTTTAATGACTTTTAAAGGGTTTGAACGTGGTGCCAACTTCTTTCCTCCACGGGACGTTGTTTTAACCGTTAGCAACGTAGTTAACGTTAGCTTAAAATTTCACTTGCTAGTTTATCTGAAAACAACCGGAAGTGCTTTTTAAAGCCTGTCTTTATCATTTTTCTGTGCCATTATTGACCCATTTTCCGAAAGGAGGATCCGGCTAATGGTTGAGATCAAAGGCTGACGAACAGGCTGCAAGTTGTGTGTGTGAATTTCATGGCTCTCCTCCTATGGCTGACTCACTCCATATTACTAGTAGCTCAGCTATTTAGACTCTCTGCTCTCTATTATTCATCATCCTCCTGCATTCCTGACTTTGTGATATTCGTGGTTATATGTCTGGCTTGAGCTGAATCAGATTGTGACAGAGTCTGAAGGATTGACTCAGTGTGTCGTTTAGTGATCTGACCCAGTGTCTTTCTGATAAGGCTGGGGTTTATCTTGTCTTTGCTCTGTTTTTCCTAGCATGCACCATGTGTTATTTCTACATACGCAGTGTTGGATTTTGTGTTAAGGCATGAATGCACAGAGCAGGAGCTTCCATATATTTGCAATGTGACTGGCTTTGGAGGATTGTAACTCCAGTCCTGTGCCCTACAGTGAATGCTCACATGTCAGGCGTTGTAATATCATCCAGTCTTTTTGGGGGCTGAATACAAGTTGCTTTCTGTGTCCCTCTGCAGGGGGGAAGAGTAGATGGGAGTTGTTCTGCAGAACAGGGTTGGAAATTAACTTTTTTTGTCCACCTGCAACTGTGGCTGGTGGCTTGCCAAATCCACCAGCCACTCAATAGATTGTTTTGTCTTTTTTGGTTGGAGAGTGAAGCTAATCTAGCAGCCACTTGAATATTTGGTGCTAATTTCCAACTCCTGATTCACAACCAACTCCAGCATTGAAAAGAGAAAAAGTCCAATCACAATTTTTAGATTCTGTCATGAACCGCAACTGATATCTTTATAAGCAAGGAATTTACTACGCAGGACATAGTAGGAGCAAAAATGTTTGGATTGCATGATAGGATTGTTGTTGAAAAACGGTGACTAATGATTAATCTCCATCCCAGGTTGATACAAAACACAAAAGCTCCAGCCAAAAACATTTTCCTGAGAAGCTGATCAGCAGGCTTCCTTTTCATCTCTTCTCACCCTCTCTGCTGTGCATTAGCCTACTTTCCCCTTAATGCCACTGTGCCACAGTTAGCACCTCCTCTCTACATCTAACATATAATGAACTTTTAATAGCTCTCCTATTCGGACTGTACAACTGAAAACCATTTCGCAGATTTGCAGGGAGGGTCAGAGAGGCAGTTTGGCAGGTGGCCAAGTACCATTTTACAGGAGCAGGTAGTGGGAACATGTTTCTCTTTAAGTAGTTGTGCATGTGATTATTGTGTCTGTCAACATACATGTACTTTTGTCTGTTTCTAATGCTTTGTTGTGTTGCTGTAATTCCTGTTTGACAATTGTGTGACACCAAACTGTAGCTTTAAGCATGTGACTTTTCAAGTTTAGCTCAGGAGTTTGGGCACGCATGCCATTTTTGAGACATTTCAGTGACTGTAAAACTTTCTCTTTAGTGTGGTGATAGTGCTGCAGATAGGACTGCCCCAGGCCTGGAATTGAAGCCAATCTGAAGGGTTCGCTGTGTCACTGCAAAGCTTGGGCTTTCTCATGTTTCATCCTGTCCATCTCAGTGAAGAAAATTACAGGAGTGAAGAGGGGAGGGGACTACTTTTAGTGGTGTTCCTATCCTTGTATATCCTCTGGGTGTCTCTTGCATGTGATGGGTTAGACACAATGCTTTATTTCTATCTCGGGAAGCACATCTCTGCAGGCCCATTTATTGTTTTTTTCTGGTTTTGTGAGTGTTGCTTTTAGCTGACTGAGCTAAAATCTGACTCCATCATGTGCCTCATGATAAGAAAACAAAAGATAAAAGAAGAGGGAAAAGAGCCAACCAGTAGAAAGAGTGAAAGAAAAGCCCTTCATGTTCAAACATGTTGAGCCAAGAAGGGGGTTGGAGGAGCTTTGTGATAGTGTGGGTGTGCTGACTTGTTATTGTATGCTTGAGCACTCGAACTCATACATTCTCCGACAAATGCACACGTAGCTGCTCACACATAGTGGTACACTGTCTCAAGAGCTTCAGATCTGTTCTGACGCTTTCACGCTGCTGTCATCATCAACATTTATTAGCAAGTGCAGATGTGACACATGACCAGTTATCTCATACCCTGATCAAGACAAGTGTTAGGTGTGTTAATACAGTATGCAGCATATTTACAACTACATACTGCAAATCAGTCTACATAATCTGATGCTTGTATAAATATATTAATCTAAAAATTTGATTTAAGTGTGTAGTTAGCTTGCATTATCCTGTCTTTCCCAGTAACCTGTGGTTTAATGATTTGTTTGAAGATCAGGTCGATTTGTGGAAGGATGTGAAGTGACATACAGTAAGCATAATGTCAGTGCCATGAAAAAGAAACAAGATAAATAGAACAAATTTATTGAGGTCTATTTTGTCTCTTGGCTGATGCATTAATAGTTAAAGTTAAGTAAGAAGACTTTGGTATTACTCCAGTTCCCTCCACAATTTTTCTGGTGCATGAATGTAAAATGAAACGACATAGTGAATCAGACTTGGGTGTATATATTTGCTATAGTAAAAAGAAAGATTGATAGTAATCCCAGGTGTGTGAACTGGGTTATAGTCGCTCAATTCTGACTTTAATTTGACTGACTGAGTTTGGTTAATATAATAGAAAAATGACTTTCTCTTATCTGTTTGGGCCTGTTTTTACCCCTTGTGTGAAAGTCTTTACTGGATAGATGGAGTGCTTTTGCATACTGAAAATTGGCTTTGAATAGGAACCAGTTCTGTGGATTAAGTAATAAAGTCATAAGTTGTTGTTGCCCTTGAGCTGCTGGCATTCGGTGCTTATGATGCCAGGTAGCATGGCAGGAAAGGAGCTCTGAAGTCAAACCATGGTGTCTTGCTAAAGAGTCAAACCATGGTGAATGTAACCTTTCCCAGTGTGCACTTTAGCACCCATTACATCACATGGAATCACACAATAACGTTGTTACAGTAACTGAGGAAGGAAGCTTGTTGATTAGCTGTTCAGCAATTCCACTACATGTGCAGCATGGTAAACAATTGCTCCAGTATCCTGCAATCCCACACCAGCTGATTGCTGAAATTTAATTTCAAATCATTGTATCTCCCAACCACATTTAACTGTGCTGTTGTTTGTATTTTTAGAAATTATATGATGATGTTTTTAGTCAGTTGTGTGAGGGATTTGCTCCCAGACTCTGTTGGAGGATATGTGCTATATGCAATGTTATCTCTCTCTTTCCCTGTTTGTCTGTTCTCTCCAGCTCTCCCTTTCTCTTTCTGTAAAGCTGCTATCAGTTGTAGCCTGGCAGGGAGAGGTACAGGGGAATGCTGACTGTCCCTTTTTGCAGCTGAGCAGTAGAAAATAAACAAGGTTGAAAACCTCCTCAAAGCCACGTACTGTACTTCTGTCAACTTCTCTCCCTCTTTGTACGCCTGTCTTGCTCTCCTCTTTCCTCTCTATGTCAGAGATCAAACCAATCTAACATCCGGTTAAAAAGTTCAGCTCACACAGGCAAGAACTCCTGTGGAAGAACCCTTTTGTATGTCCTTTATGTATTTAAAGCCTAAAACCTCTATGGACTTAGAAAATAAAGACAACCCAGTGGGCTAAGTTCAGGTTACTGAGGAACCCTGCCAAAAATAATCACTTTGCTGCTTTGCAGAGAGAGAGAGGAGGACATGCTTGGACTCATCCTTTTTTTAAGTATCTGAAGGGGGGAAAGGAGAGTGGGAGAAGGAGAGAGGGAAATGAAGAGATAGAGAGGTTCACCTCTGTTTGTAATCCAATCTCATTCTGATTCCAAGCTGTTTGAAGTTCTGTCAAGAGAAATAGGCTTTGATCATGTGGACCTAATGAACTGAGGGAGCAGAGAGGGGATAGAGAGGAGTTTTACTTCTGTGCTGCAGCCGTCATTCCACTGATTGTCTGCCGGTTGGAAAAAAAATCACAACATTGCAGTATTTCTTATGTACTGAACAAATATATTGAATAGATAGACAGTAGGGTAGAGCTGAGAGAGCTTTCTGCATTTTATTTTTCCTGCTGCTGTGCAGATATAATTTCAGAATCACCAGTACACAAATTTTACCAGTAAAAGTCTGTTATTGTGAAAGAGCCATGCCTCATATTGGTTAATTAAAATTAAAACGTCAACTGTCAACAAAAAACTGAACATTATAACCTTCATGAATGTAGGAGTTATTGCAGGGCTGCATTAGTTTTAGATAGGTGAACCTAAGTGGTAACTGAGTGTAATGCAGGTTCACTGTTGAGCAGCAGTTAGGTCAACAGCGTCTGACTCTATACGGTCAAATGTCTTATTTGTTGGCCGGGGAAACCCTCACAGATTCACTCCTGAACCTCTAACAAGCCATTATGTATCCTGGGTCCTGATTGGACAGAGTGGTGTCACAGTCTCCCTTCTTTTATTGCCATCCCTCTGTCCTGCCAAAAACAATGATGTCACCCTTGTTGCCATGGTACACAATGGGGCGAGCAGGAACATGCCAGAGAGAGGGAGAGAAGGAGAGAGGGGAGGAGCTGCCGTGTTGTTTGGGAGGCCATGCTAAAACTAAACATACATGGAGGAACAGTGGAGGAATAGGGCACACATTTTATTACAGTACAAAGCCTTTTCAGTGTGTGTGTGCGTGCACGCCGGCCTTCTGAATGACTTAATGATGTAATTGTTTTCAGATCAGTTTAAACTGGTATTTACCCTGATTTTATGGCTTCGTGCATCAAGAGGTCTCTCCTCTTACAAAAAAACTGTCGACTGTAACTTACAGGAAACTTCCTCTGGCAGTTAACATGGCTGAGAAAATGTTAGCAGTGAACAAACAGTATAGTGTTATACTGCTAACCAGGGGTGGGGGGACAATTGATACAGCATAGTATTGTGATATTGATGATAATATCGTATCGTGGATCCTCTGGTGAATCTCACCCCTACTGCCAACAGTAATTAAAGCGCCAATTTCATTCATATTGAATTTTTTAAAAACGTACAAAATAAAAATGAAATAAATGCTGTTTATTTAGCTCACTGGAATCTTTTTTTTTTTTTTAAATGAGCAATATCCAGCAGGTTAATTAGTACTTAGTGCCTTTGGTTTATTTATGACTGATTGTCCAAATGGTAGGCCTAAGTCATGTATTTTTTGTCCAGAGTAGAATAACATTCGGACATTCAGACTAGGGATGTTAGTGGTTAACCGTAGATCAATTGTTGCTCATCTGGCGATTATCACTGGTTACTCCATCCCAACCAGTGGTGGCATTGCTTTGGAAACATTGTGGCCACCCTCTGGTCTCCCCTCTGGTTGCCCCAGTGGCTTAATTTTGACCTGCAAAACCTGTTAAATCATGGGTATGTTAAATGGGTATCTTCTAAATGGACAGTGCTTCGAAATGTGGCGCTAAAGCTCATGGAATCAACAGCATGCTGGACCAAAAGGAACAGTGCTGCTTGTATTTCCGGTCTTTTTTTTTTTTTAGGTTAGATACTGGTTCATGGATGTCGGGCTACTGAAAGCAAAATTGACATCCCTAATGTAGAAATGTAAACAGTACTGTTTGAATGATTTCATCTCAACTGTGAAATAATCACTGCTGTGAAACAAATCTCTGAAACATAATCAACAATACATTTGAACATTATTTTGTAATATAAAACTGAAATCAAACCGGAGTAACCAATTGGTGTTGCAGTCCAAGGGGTTGTGTTAGTAACTAAATGTTGTATGGGAGTAGTTATGGAGAAAGCTGCACGTAGCATGGGAGTTCTGGTCTGGGCTTTGTGTTTTGTTTGGGAAAAGTCAGACAGATACATGAGGTCGAAGCAGTGGAAAGTCCCCGTGCTGAGACAGAGCCAGTGGTAGTTTTCCTGATTCTCTTTTTGCTCTTACTCCCACTCACTGACGCCTCTGTAGGCCTCCTGTACCCAGGACAAGACTGGGGGTTCGCAGAGAGAGTCGTACACACAGAGAGAAATAGTTCACACCACACACACAAACGTATGCAGAGCCCATCCACAACTATTTCTTCCAAAACATTCCTAACCAGATACTCCTCTGCTTGTGCCAAAAGTTTGTGCCTCACTCAGCAAACTGTATAAGTCAACAAAATCCAAAGTTTGAGCTGGAACACAACATGTATAGTAACACTGTCGAGAAGTAGTTTATGTGGTCAGCTTGTTTAAAGTGGCAATAAAACAGTTCTACTTGAAAATACCATAATTTTGACTAATTACCATAATTTACACCCATGGTTAAGCGATGTGTTGTAAGCAGAGTTGACAGCAACGACACAAGTGTCAGTTCATTCTGACAGTCATGTTTGAAATGACCAAAAGTAGAGCCAAATGTTGTTCTGCAAACTTCATAAATAATCTGACTGTATAATAACACAGTTCTTTGCTTACTGCACCGGTGCTATACTTTTAAATTTGTTCTTGTTTTACTGTATTTTCATCTTTGTGCAAAGGTAGTGCTCATCCAGTCTCCCCCTCAAATTGATGTTTAAATTCTCAAACTTCTCAAAATAGAGGTTCAACATCACTAAAAACTCTCTGTCTTTCCTTTATCGTTTCTCTTCTTCACTCTCCCCTTCTCAGGTGAAGCAGCTTTGAGGGGGGACCCCAGACTCCAATCCCTGTCTCTGTCATCATCCTCTTCCTCATCATCATCCTCTTCATCATCGTCGTCCTCATCTTCCTCCTCCATCTCCAACCACCGGACAGGTCCTCCTCCCATCAGCCCCACCAAGAGGAAGCTGAGCGGGGACCAGGGAGACAGCGACATGGATGACAACGAGCATGTGGCAAAGATGAGCCGACTGTTTGCCACACAGCTGTGAGTACACACACTGAGGAACTCACATCTGTTGTCGCACAAGTGGGCAGGCACTCAGACACTTTTTAATAAAGTATTCTCTAGATGCTCATTTCCTGAGGTGCTACTAAATATGGATCTCTAATATTCTAATCTTTTCTGTCTCTGTCTTCTGTCTCGATCACACGTACACATTTTTTTTTTACTCATGTATGCCAGTGTTTCTTTTGGCCATGTGTTTGCGGGCTCCTCGCTCGCTGAAGCTGTGCACAGGCGGGCGTTCTCAGAAGTCCCAGTTTGGACTCCAGGGTTCTACGCCAGGTTTAGCCGGCTCCACAGTTCTCCTTATAGCCGCAGAACTCTGGAAGCTTGGAAACAGGGACTGCACAACAGAAAGATTACTCACATCTCCAACGTTCCCACATTCCCACTTCCAGAGATTCCAGAGATTCTGGAGCGCTGATTGGCGGTGAAGGAGTGCTGGGGCCGGGGGCAGTGGTGTCAGAGGCCCCCCCTCCTGCTCTTTCTCGGTTTGACTGAGTCAGTCATGGGAATCCAGCCATTGCTATTTATTGCAGAGGCAGTCAAGGAGGTGTTAGATAGAGCTGTGCAGTTTTGCATGCATGCTAATTCTTCAATATGTCCCGCTGCTGAAAATACAAGTAATATTACGAATTAGTGACAGCTGTTGTTTGTATGTCACTCGTTTCATCGCAGTTATGTTTGTCAGTCAACATGGCTCCGAGGTGACACAATGGAACACAGTAGATGATATGCTGGATATACTGGAAGCCCAGGGATTAAGAAAAGAGCACAGTTACTGGCAGTGTATTTATGTGGTTAGGCATGTGCAAACACACAGATGCATGTGTAGATGCACACACATACTGTCTTGTGTGTATGCTTGCACCAACACTTTCTGCTGCACATTTGCACATTAGGCAAATACCTAAATTAAAATCACTGTTAAAGTAACAGCCAGTACTTCTTCATAGTGTCAAACACATTTAGACTTTAAAGGTAAGTGGAAAGTTTGCAGCTGTAGTCGGCTTGTGCTCACTGCAATTACAATTAATTGTAATAGACACAGAGGCAGCAAATGTTGAAAATCACTCCTGCAGTATAATCCACCCCTCTGCCAAATGATCTGTATGTTCAACGTGTTCCCAGCACTTCACAACATGGCATACAGATGATAAATAAATTGGCAATATATCTGAGAGGATCCAGTTTTTAAGAGCTTTTACCTGGTGAGTCTCACCATGACAAAAGTTGCATATGTTCAGTGCAGGGGTATTTTGGCACAGCTTGTGGTGCAGGTGGGAAATCTATGACTTCTGAATCAAGAGTTCTAGTGGCACAGGGGGAATGGTCTTTGTTCCTTCATCTTGTGACCGTCTGGGCTCACATAACAAAGGATTAGCTTGTGCATCTTGACATTTGTGCAGAGTCATCTTGTTATGGATGTGTCAGTGGTGGGAGAATTATCATTATACTCTTTAACTAGGCAGTAAATCCATCTTCCCACTTGTTTTTTTATTCTGTTGTCTCAGTTGTTTTTCGCTCTATGCAAGACATTTTTTCACAGACGCTGTGGTTAACTTCTGCATACATTGATAAGCAAATGCTCCTACTCATGTGTCACGAGTTGGATTTTATTTTGTAAGTCGCTCTGACAAAGTACAATGGGACTTATTGTCATATCAGCTTACAGTTTGTGTTGCAACTCCCTGCCACAGCTTCTAAATGCAACCATTTTGTGGAATTAAAGTTAGGTTCTGTGAAAGTAAAAGTTATATAAAAAGTCTGATGTTAAAGACTTCTCAAACTGCTCATTGTACCATGATTATTTCCTAGAAGTAACCCGTGATAAGCCATAATCCCTTTACTTAATCTTTATTTTAATTATAACCTTGAAGTCATTTGACTCTAGGTGCTGTGGGTTAATCTCTACCCAAGAAAAGTCAATTGCTAGTTGACTTGCTGCAACTTGAAGCTAAATCCAGGGCTTTCTCTAAAGCTTCATCAAGATATAATTTTTTTTTTTTTTTTTTTTTCAAAAAAAAACAACAAAAAAAACATTTGCCTCGGGGCCATCATAAATGTATCTTTTATTTTTAGTATTTAATTTGAGGTTTCTCTGAGGGCATTCTTTCCCTGGCAAAGGTAACTGCTAAGGGACTTGTTGAAACCTGCAGTCAGAGACAGCCTCTGAAAAGTTTCCCTCCTTGTTTGAACTGCTGCGCCCGGCCAAAGAACAGTGATTACGCTAAAGTGGAGAATGATGGGTTGTTGTTACAGAAAAAGGCAAGCTAAAAATAGCGGGTAAAAACAGCCTCTATAGAAAACACTGTAGGGTACTTCACCGTCGACTCGTCTTTATTTAACGTCTCTGAGCTTTCTGCTTCGTTTAACTCATCTGTCAATTGTAGGAACAGTGATTAGGTTTAATTTGAAAATGATGGACTTGATTCTTGGGAAATAGCTAGACAGAAAACCAGAAAATGAACCCCTGCAACCCCGCAATGCGTGCACACACACACACACACACACACACACACACATACAAGCACGTACAAGCACACACACTCAGTTCAAATGTCCGGAGATGGTTATCTGACACCATTCTAGCTGTTGGAGTTTGCTGGCTGCTTCTGTCTGTGTAGCTTGTCTTTTTTTGTCTGCACTGATTGCTCTGCTCAGTGTTGACTGTTCCTGCATGTATAGGAGCTTTTGTGTTCATTCTCCTTTTTAAAAAACAAAAAAACGTTCTCTGTTTTGCTCGAACGGCAGTTTTTCTTTCTGCTGACAACACCAGTCACTAAATAACGCACTTTGTCGAGCTGCTTGTAGTTTTGTCTGCAAGTTTAGTCATATTTTTGGTGACTGTACACACAGACGGACACCTGACACCTTAGACTCGAGGCGGGGCTGTGAAGGAGGAAGCTCGGGTTTCTTTTGTTGTCCAATCACTACAAGCTGAAATCAGTGGGGGAGGCACAGGCCGGAGTGAGAGACAGAAAACTTTCTGATCCAGCTCAAGCTTCTTTTTAAATGTGGGACAGTATTAACAGGCATGTTAAATGAGTGGGTTTGCTTTTATCATCAGCCTGTGTATTTAAGTGTTTTAATAGCGAAGTCACTATTGCAGTACAAAAAAGTTTATGGCATGATAAATCTGCATATAAAAGTCTGATTGAAAACATAGGCAGTCCCAGTGGCAGGCTGATATGTGGATGTGATCAGTACGTCTATACTACCTGCACAAACACATGCGGATTGCATGTGTTTGTGCAGGTATGCATGCTCATGTGTCGTCCTGTATACTGTCCATACATGCATGTGTGCTTGCCCATCTGTGATTATGTGTGTGTGTGTGTGTGCGTGCATGCTGAGAGGACTCCTTGTCAGGCAGAAGGGGCTACTTTCTCATTTTCTCTGAGGAGTAGGAGGAGTCTTGAACAAAGAAGCCTTATCCTGTCCACTGGAGCCTGCGGGCTGGAAGCTTGCTGCTGCCTGCTCGCCTGCCCGCCACTCCGCAGTTGTAGACCCACCAGTATAAAAAAAGTCCTCTTGCTCAGCTGTTTCATTCCTCCTCAAGAATAAGAGCCAGTCACAGAGCGAGGTTTTGTTCAGGCTTTTAATTGGGGAATATGGCTGCAGGAAAGTGTATTTGCAGCAGCCTGTTACATGTGACTAAGTGGGTGCTAGGTTTGTTAATTTTCTCAGACAAAACAAAACATTTATTGTCTTTCATCATAACCACATTGTTTTTTTCAATATTAACTGTTTTGTTCAGTAAATTACTAGTAACACATAGTAACACAGACTTTCAGCAAACAGTGTCTGGTAGTCATTGCTCGGAGCAAATGTTCCTTTTTCGAGTTCTTGTTCTTGCTCTTTAGCGTGATAATCATGAGGAACTGGCTTTTCTTTTCACACCATTATTTGAGTCGTTAAAAATCCGACATATGGACAATGATTCAGAGATTTGAAATCAAGCCACATGTTTTTCACAGTAGTATATAATCTTTCTTTCACATGCTACTCTGAGAGGTAATTCTGTAGATATAGGAGCTAAAAGCAAACCCTAATTCAGTCAGTGTAATGCAGTAAGTACTGTAGGACACAAACTACAGCTGCTTTCTACTGGGAACTTCATCAGTAAGTTGTTCTCATGGAAGTTTCCCCATAGGCCAAATGGGGAGAAAATGAGAGAGGAGGAGGAGTCTGTGTGAGTGAGTGTGGCCAAGCCAGGTGAAGTCATTGTTACCCTCTTGTTTTACATGGGACTGGACTATTTATGTAGTGTGTGAGCATGTGAGAAAAGGAGGGGAGAGCATGTGGGTGTTTTTGTTTCCAGTGTGTGTGTGTGTGTGTGTGTGAGAGAGAGAGTGTGTGCATCTATGTGTGTGTGTGTGTGTGTGTGTGTGTGTGTGTGTGCTCTCATGTTGTTTTCTTTGCCTTCTTGTTGTGGTGGTTCCCATATCCGATCGGTCCCAGCTTTGATAACAAAGGATTTTCTTCAGTTCTCTTTCTCTGCAGTCAGTTAACTGTCAAATATAGGCTTGATTTTTATCAGTAGTTCTGCATGAATGGAAATCTGACAGATTTAAAATGGCTGTGTGAAAAGATGTTTGGAAATATCTCACTTGTTGTAGATGTTGAATGTAATGCATGATTTAACAGGGCATTTGATGAATTCATTTTAATATTGTTCTATGTCAAGGACGATCACTTGATTTATACCAGTCATAGTCTGTAAATGATGTCTGTTAGGATATATTTCCTCTGGGTTTTGACTTTTCTTTTTTAAAGGATACAAATATTATTGCTAACTTCCGCTCAGTCCTGCTACTAAAACCTGGACTGAGCAGAGTAAACTGTGTTGAGATGTTTGTATACTTTATATACATAGCCTGGGTAGGCCCTGTGGCTTACTGTGTGTGTGTGTGTGTGTGTGTGTGTGTATATATATATCCATTTTGTGAGTTTGTGCAGACCTTGCTGAGCTTGGGCCT